AACAGAAGGACGAACGCCAGAGGAGATCAGACAGGACTGAAGACTAATGTACTGCTTGACATCAAGCGGACGAAATGGAGGTGGGGTTGTACTGAACGAAGATCGAAACAAAATATTCGAAATCAGCCGAATTGACGATAGGGTTATGGGCGTTAGGCTGGCATTGGAAAGTGGTATCCTTAATATCATAAGTGTGTATGTCCCTTTGATTGATCAGGATGAAAATGAGAGTAAAAGTCGAATTTTGGGAGGGCAATGATCTTGCACTGCAAAGCACACCGGTAAATAGAAAGTAGTAATCAGGGTGATCTGTCGGGTCCTGTCGGTAAGCGTCAACTGGCTTGCGACAGGATCCATGGCGAACATGGATATAATATATCAAAAAGGAAGGAGTGAACACCTTGCACATGATAATTGCATGTGATATGGCCCTGACAGATTGGTACTTCGAGAAAAGAGAAATCCACCTGTTTACCTACAAGAGCGGGTAGATGAAAGGTCAGAACGAATGTGACTTGCTCTGGGGTACGAACCGACGAACGTCAGAGAATACAAGGTTGTTCCGGCGAATCTTTCACAAGCCAGCACCATTTGCTGGTCCTAGACTTTTATCTGAAAAATTTTATCACGAAGGTGGGTACAACGTCAGCCGCGAAAACAATGCAGTTGATTTTCAAAGGCAAGCTGAAGAAGCGCACGAGAGGCAAGTTACGAGAAAAATGACGAAGGAATACGGAAACTAGACCATTGGTATTCCCTACGATTATGCTTCATCCTCCTTTGGACGAAACATAATCATAGGGAATGCCAATGGTCTAGTCTAAAAAGCTAATGGCACAACGCATATCCAGAAGGAAACGTGGTGGTGGAATGCGGCGGTGCAAGCAGCTCTACGACAGAATAAAGAAGTGTTCAAGAAATGACAGCAGTCGAACTGCGCGAGATACAAAATAAAATATGTCATGGCGAAGCGGGGAGCAAACAGAGTCGTCGCGGTTTATCGCTGCACACTATATGATATAATCATGGAATGTGTAAAGATAGTGGAATTACCGTGAACAAGTATTTTGTGCCTCTGAAAACTGTCGGCAAATTAAACTGTTCAGCCACACCATCAAGCTATACTAAAGGAGGCTAGACAAATGATTGAGGAACGAGGTCTGCATCACCGCAAACCAATTTGGCTTTATGCCAGGCCGGTCATTCTTGCTTTAAGATCAGCCCTCGATTCATCCAGAGAGGCAGACTGGACATTCACTTAATACTCTTAGACCTACAGAAAAGTTTTGATCGAAAACCAAGGTAGTCAATTTGATGGAGCATGAGGAAGAATCTGTTGCCAGTAAAACATGTTGGACTTGACAAAGCATGTACGCGATAGTGACGACGATATTTGCATGCGACGAAGACAAGTTACAGGTTCCCTGTGCTTTAACTACGGATCTGCTCGAAACGATCTCAAGCCGCATGCTTTGTGCAGATAACGTGGTGCTCAGAAGTGAAAGCGGAGAAGCAGTGGAAACAAAAGCTGAACAAGAAGAGTCCTTCAGAAAAACGGGCTTCGGCTCAGCAAAGGCGAGTTGAAATATATTGCGGGTTATTTTACTGTGGGGAACAGATGGAAAACCAGCGAATCAGTGAAGGTAGCGGGCATTATGCTGCCTCAGCACAAAAATTCAGTTATATTGATTCCATGCTTCAAGACACTAGCGAAATCGATAGTTAATGAAGATTATGGTTGCAAAAGCATGGTTCAAGTGGAGAAATATGAGCGGTATACTGTACAGAAGGAAGAGTTACATCAAACCTGAAAGACTTACAGAACAGTGGAAAGACCTGTGTTTCTCTACAGAGCGGATTATTTGGCTTCCCAGAGGTGACACGAACAGCAGCTGAACTCCCGTTGAAATGCGAATGCTTAAATGAAAGTGTGCTGTCATCTAGAAGAGTCACATCCGCAATACCTTCATAAGATAAACCGTAGTTGTGACACTATTTACGAAAAAGCGTATAGAACGCAGGCTCCTATGCTCCAGCCGCGTGATAAATAATCCGACTAGTACGTTAGAAGGGTTGTCCAAGCCCTGATGGTACCAAAGAAAGCGAGAATTGAAATTACTTCGTTTTGACATAGATCCATTACGTTCTCTGTTGCGCCGCTCTCCGCAAAGGAACGCATGCACTGGATTGGAGGGGAGCATAGACTGTTAAACAAAGTGTTATCCTTCAGTCTGACTGTTTTCGTCAGCGGCTCCGTTATAGTCGCAAGTCGACTTTCCGTCACCCTTCTTGGTGCTGCGTTCTCTGCTTCCATGGTTGACCAAACAGTTTCGCCATTGAATCGTCTCCAGAAATCGCGTTCTGCATCGAACTACCGAACTTGGAACATGGTCTTGAGGGAAGACCTTGCATATTTTTCCTTCCATCGCCCTTTGCGTTACTACTACTTTCTTTTCCACAGCTTTGGTGGTAAACCAGACTGCACCAAAAAATGATGGAGGATAGGACGGCGGAATCGAACAGTTCTTTCTTCGTGGGCTTGGGCAACTCGTTATCCAGCAGCGATGTTTTGATGTAATTGAAACTTGCACATGCCGTCTTTTTTCTTCTGATCAAATGAAACATGGCGTTAAAGGCTTCTAAGCTTGTGACCACTATTTCTGTCATCGTAATCTGAGGCAAAACAATTTTTTGCCGCGAAGTTGCCGAAACCAGTTACGTACTACATGATTGAAGTGGCATATAAATGCTTATTAGGTTTCGTTGGCAACAGTGCACTGAAAGCCGATCAGTTTTTATCCAAGTGTTTTGCGCCATACACTGCAGTTAAAATGTCATGGAGCGGCGGTTTAAGCTATTAAAGGCTAAAGGACAGTGTGCCGCGCAGTGTAAATCCGGAGAAATAAGAGCAGATTGATATTCTTATCACAGGTATTGAAAACTAGCAGTAATATGAACAAACCCATAATATTAACTATATGTTTTTAAGATTTATCAAATCCTTCTACGCGTGTGTGCAAAGTGCGAGGTTCCGCCTGGAAAAGGTTTTTAACTGTTGGTTGATCGATTTGTTAAACTGCTAATTGACGTTTCCGTACGTCATCGCTGACAAAATCAGCTGTTCGATGTTTCTGGTTTTGATTTTTGCAAAACATAGGGGTCAGACCTTTGAGCTTCAGAAGTTCAGTGCCTTTAATTCTTAACTGAAAATCTAACAGATCAGTTAATAATCAGATATTGGACTAAATGGCGTAATCGACGGCACGACATACTATGCTGTACTATGCTTTTCCGTACTTAAAAACAAATCACGGTTTAATTCGAAAAGCTACTTAATGCGAACTTCTGAAGCTTTATGCTCGTATGCTTTGCCACCGTTGGGCCTGTAGGGCGGAGCATCATCGATCAGATGTTCGATAGTTTGGCTGTTTATTCGAAGATCGCACGAGTTCCACTTATGTACATCGCCATATCCTGTTCTTGCGTGGTTAATGACAATGACAGATATTTTTCTTTCGGAATGAGGGCGAAATGAATGTAAAAGTTTGTTAACTGGATGCCCCTAAGTTTTCTAACATTGATTCCTGCAAAGAATTTATTGGCCCCTACTGTTAAAGAGTTGAATTCCCTGATGAAGATCGATGTCAGTTCGGTGAAAACGTCGGAGTTCTCGTAAATAAAAATTTTTTCTGTATTGAGTTAGTTGCATAAATTTCGCTCTCTTGATCCACGCATGCAATCACAATTACTACGAACCCAGTTAATCACAAATTGGTCAAGAACAAACCCAGTTCACATCGCATGTCATGCTTTCCTAGTCTTTTATTTCCATAAACTATTTATGTCTATCTCCCGTATACGGTCTCAATGACTTATGCTATTACAAATAGACAATATGATTTGGTTTCGCATAAAAATGTCTGTTATGTTTGGAAATAACAATCTAGCATGGTTTTCTGACCGTGTCTCTTTACTTGTCTTTAAGAGTTCAACCAGTGCCGCAACGTCTGTACTAACAATGACATATGTTCTTTAGTTGTTTCTACATACATGCAAGTGTTTGGAAGCAGCAATCCATCGAGCGAATCGGACTTTAGAAGCTCGGCACTTGTCACGTACGAACGATTGCGCGACAGATGGCAGTTGAATCTGGATTGTGGTAAGCGTCGAGGTCTGCCATTCGACTTGCGCCCGGCGGTACATCACCCGAGTTCGGGTAGTGACGATTCATTGTCGTCGCCCGACGCGAATCGTCATCACTCTGGTCAGTCTTCTGTCATGCTGTCCCCCGCGGAACTTGTAGTCAATGACAGCCAGGTATACTACAAAAATATGATGGACCTGATCGACCTAAACGACAAGCTGAACCTGCCGCTGATGGCCGTCAGCAGTGCTCCGGAGATGAAACCGATGTATGCATTGTTGACATTAGTGCGGTACCGCTGTTTTGACTCTTGCTTTTCTGTCTTTTGCAGAGTGCTTCCACGGCGCCAAGCAATCAGCTATGTGAATCTGTTGGATGAACTGGAAGTGCCGGATCATATGATCATTGTCGAGTCTAACGAGAAAGCAACCGAACTAAAAGGTGGACCAGTCGACGCACTGATCGTCTGTGCTGCTTCGATTGGCAACAACAAAGGTACTTAGCATGCGCAATGATTTACTGCAGCCCTGTGGCCGATTTGCTTCGGTTATCTGATTCCGTCGCAGAGTGTTATTCCACTCGACAGCTTGTCGAAGAGCGAGGCGGTACATGCAGCGGCACAGATAGAGTGCAGGGGACTTAAATCGCGCGATTTCCTCTGGAATTTGAAAACTTTTCGATAGCGCTGTGTGTACGATGACAGAGCTGTAGAATTGCTTGCGCTGTTGTGACTCTGACTCTCTTGACTAGTTTCGTTAAAGCCCTTCCGAGTGACGAGCGTGCTGCTGAGGTGACCACCTGAACAGATGCGATAAAGGACTGAATTGCATGTAGAAGGTACTGATCAGTACTCCTATTGCGTTGATTTTTGTTAGTCCAACCTGATACGGGATTCTTCTTGTACAGCGTAAGCAGTAATCCAAGTAGGATACCTGACATCAGACCGAAGTAGGTGGCAAGAATACTGCCTAACCGCTACCACAGCCGAAAAGGAGTTTCATGAACTGCGAAACACGTTAAATCGGTATCAACTTGCACTTGTCTTGACCCCTTCTTCCTACAGTCGTGGAGGTGTAGCTGCATCTGCATCACAATGCCGTTCGAAACTTGTACAAAGCGTCGTAAGTCAGACGATGCGATTATCGGGTCGATATTCGACTTCTCTGCGCAAACTTCCGTGTATACTTTCGGTGCTCTTAAAAAATGTTTATAGTAGACAGTCCGTTATTTGTACAAAACCGCAACGACTTCATGTCGCCATTGCTGCGGTCCTAAGGGCCGTTCTTTCCAATCACACTTTTCCACTTTTCAGTGTGTGCTCCGACATGCGCATTAAAATCGTTTATTAGAATAGCACATTCCACTTCCTTAAGGAAGGATTCGTTTACTCTCCAAATTGGGCGCATGGACTTGTGACAAGGTCAAGATTTTTCCTGTTGCAGTGTCAGTCACAGGATTGCTATTTTTCATCTGGCGCCCATTCGATTCATTCATCATTCATTACGTCCATTCAGTGATTCTGACAGCCAGGTGATTTTTACCGTAGTACCGACACTGGCTTCAGCGCTGGTCGTTTAAGCGA